ATTGGGGGCTCTTACAGCTCTTATCACAATCCATGCATGCATCCATTGTGTCAAGCACTTTTGTACATATGTTGCCATCATCATTTTCTTTCTACTCGAGCCCTTGGTATCAGCTTATTTTCCTCCTCTCCCACTCTCCCTCCCTCATGAATCCTTTCTATCTATCTATCTATCTATCTATCTATCTATCTATCTATCTATCTTCTATCATCTATCTATCTTCTATCATCTATCTACAGTTCAGAATATAGGAGTCCCTGGGAGCTGCTAGCCGTTGCTAGCTTCACACCTAACCGAAAGGTTGGAGGTTCAAATCCACCACAGAAACTCAGGAGGAATGCCCAGCGATCTGCTTCTGAAAATCACAACCAAGGCACCCCCTGTGCAGTTTCTACCCCATGTTCAGCTTTGCTCTGAGACACATCGAGTCGCCGTGAGTCAGAATATTGCACCCAGGTCATCTCCATCGCTGTGGCAATCGACCTGCTGACCTACAGCAAGCAGTTTCACTGTTCGTTGGGAACAGTTTTACAACAGAAATTTTCTATGTTTTGAAATCACTGAGTGTTGTAGGGTTTAATCCTACACACTGACCTTATTAGCACCCTCGTCAAGGAGTTAATGCAGCCAGAAAGCTCCTAAAATATACTTCAAAAACTAATAACATGTTAAAACTTTAGAGCTGGGAAAGAACTAAGCAATTATCAGTTTTACTGGTTTTTAACATGAGGTTATTGAATTCCCTTCGACTTGATGGCAATGAGTATTCTTTTAATAATTCTATTCCTAAATCTATCATAACAACTATATCTTACATGCTATAGGTACTATTAAATCTACTTAGCAGATTGGGAAACTGAACTTCAGAGCATAGATGGGGTTCTCAAGAGAAACAAAACCAGTGATGATGATGATGATGTGTGTGTGTGTGTGTTTTGGAATAGACTTCATGGCAGTAATACATGTATGTGTATGTATGAGAGAGAGAAAGAAATGTTTATTAATAGTTGTAGAAGAGGGTAAACCCAGTCTGGTTTCAAGTCCATGGATGGGATGTTAAGCTGCAGTCTTCTCCTGCCTCATGTAGCTCCGGGAGCTGATGGACCCAGGACTGGCAGGAACACCACAGGCTGGGAACGCAGTTAAATCCAAATTCAGTAGGTCAGGCTTGCTACTGGATAGATAGATGAGCCCAAGGTCAACAGGTCAGATGGTAGCCTGCCGATTGTTCCTAGGATCAGGAGCAGGCTATTGGCTCCAGTCCAATGAGCCAGATGAAAGATCCAGATCCAGCAACAAAACTAGCAAGCTTTCCACAGTATCTACTTATATAGGAAGTATAGGCCACACCCCTGATGACGCCTTATTTCAATAGCATCAGGGTCGTGACCTAAGTAAGGGGATTGCCCTCTACCTAATCTTAAAATTGCTTGGTGACTCACAGCAGATCTCATCATGGAGTTGATTACATTATGTAAAGTCACATTATAGAGGGTTACTAGGCCTCGCTGCCAAATTACTGAGGATCCTGGCCCAGCCAAGTTGACACATCACCTAACTCTCACAGAGTGAGTAAGTGACTGTGTGGCCATCAAGGGTCACACACAGCAGGGGGCAGAAGCAAGGCTCCATCTCCACTCTAGCCGACTCAAACACTCATGCTGTTTCCTACTTGCTACTATGTCTCCTAGAGGAGCTGTGGTAGCAGAGTGGTCATGCTTAGGGCTGTTAATCTCAAAGTCGGCAGTTCAAAAGCACCAGCCACTCCTCTGGAGAAAGATAAGGGTAAACTGTTACAGTCTTCAAATCCCACAGGGTCCATTCTACCATGTCCTATAGAATCACTGAGTCAGCATGAATGCTATGCCCATGAGAGAGCACAGGTCTCCTTGGAGCCCGTGTTGTGTAGTGAGCTAAGTACTGGGAGGCTGAGTGCAGAGGGGATGGCCCCACCAGAGAAAGATGAGGCTGCCTATTGCTGTAAAGATTCACAGCCTTGGAGACTCTCAGGAGCAGTTAGATAGGGTCTCTGTGCGTCAGAGCTGACTCAGCAGTGGATTTGTTTTCTGATTTATGCTGTACCCTTAAGAAGGTTTGGTGGTACAATGGGGAGGAGTTTTGCTGAAGCAAATGATTGGTAGTTCAAACCAACCAGTGGCTCTCTGAGAAAGACCTGGGCTCTGTGGGAGAAAAGAGCTCCTCCCATAAAGCCCTCCATCCTTGAAAAGTCTATGATGAGGCAGTTTTACGCAGTCTTAGGGGGTCCTTATGGGTTGGAATGCATTTGGGGGCACACAGCACTATTTTGTCCCCTTGGACACGATAGCTTCAGTAGAACGGGGAATCCTTTAGATGGGGAACTATAATTTATTCTAAGCCTCTCATCTCCAGATGAGAAAGCTCAAGCTGAATGAGATAGCCCATTACTCAGCAATGCTGGAACTGGGAGGCGAGGGGTATGTTGCTTACTGGAGTTGATAGAAAACTGAGTTGAGGCATTCATTCACTTAAAATGAATAAAATCCATTCTACCAAACAAGATGTTCCCTTGTGGCACCAATTCAAATGTGAAATGTGTGGGGCATCATCTCCTTTTTCAAATGGAGAGTATATTTTGGTATTGAATCCTGTCAAACTTACATTAAAAAAAATCTGTTGGTGTCAAAAAGAAATTCTGAGCCAAAGACATCATGATTATTTAAATGTGTGGAAGTTGGAAGCTTGCTCAAATGAGAACACAGAAAGCAAAGTTAACTAGCAGCCCAAGAGAGAAGGGCATACTTCTCATGATGTTCTGGAACCCCCACTGTGAAGAAGAAGGAGGAGGAGGAGGGGAGGAGGAGGAGGAGGAGGAGGAGAAGTCGGCTGTAAAAATGTATGGAAGAGGTAAGGCAAAAGCCCTACAACAATCTATGTATGAACTTCGGTTAAATACTCCTAACCACTGCTATTGGCAACTGTCCGTCTATTCCTTCCCATCTGACGGTACCTGGTGTGCTCCAAAGTAAAGGTGATTCAATACTATTTACTATGTGGGCTCCTTCAGGACCGGGCCCAGTGTTTTGGAATCTAGCTATCGTCAATTGTTTAGAAAAGAAAGTTTGGAGAGTGTGATGAGCACACTTTGTGACCACTGGATAAAACATTGAAAGAAAAGAAAGAATAAATAGCAACAATGGATACTTCCCTAGCCACTCCTGGAAGCAAAGAGTTGGTGGTCTACTTCTGAAAAAGTCGCTTTGGAGCACAGCTCTGCGCTGACCTGACACGCCAGGGCGGCTGTAGTCAGAAGTGGCTTGTTAGCAACTCTTGTTAGATACCAAGGAAGTAGTCTTTCATATACATAATGTTTTGGCACCTGTCCTTCAGAAGTGTCTAGCCTGGGTGGAGACTAGGCATGAGGGAAACAAAGATCAGATAGAGACTAGAGGAGGGTGGAGCAGATTAGGGATATTTCTGGGGCCTTAAAGAATGAGGAGGATTTGCACAGATTGGGGATGGGGCTCCGGATGACAAAAAAGAAAAACAGGATTATTATAAGAGTGGTGTTCCTTAAAAATTTTGTGTTGTGAGGGTGAGGTAGCTCCCAAACTCCAAGATGAGAAGTTGGATGGGTAGATTGCCCAGTTTCTGAAACATGGCAAAACCAGGCCTTGATATTTAGACTTGATAGAGCAGGAAATCTCCTAAGGACCAACCCCCTCCTCTCCCTTTTCTCTGGAAGTTAAGTACAAATATAAATATATCCTCCCAAAGAGACAACAAACATTGCAACCTAATATGTGTACCATGTAAATCAAATAAGGGCCCTTTTAGGCCTTTGAAATGCAAGCTGTGGGCTTGCTTTCACATTCACTTATTTATTCATTCCACAAAAGTTTATGAGGGCCCGCCGGAGCTGGAACTTTGTTAGGCACCATGGGGGGTGCCAAGCTGAATAAAACTCGGTCCCTATCTTCCCAGCGTTTACAGCTCCGTGTAGGAGGCAAATGGCGACACAAATTCTTACAATGAGAAGATAAAATCTCACCACAGGATTGTGCGGGCTTCCTTCAGGTGGTGTGGAACATTAGCAAGGTTTTTTCAGACAAGATGATTTTAGAACCAGGTTTCAAACTAACTGCTGGAGCAGAACACGCTTTCTTTGAAGCATCTGCCAGGGTCAAGATTGTGGAAGCCCATGGAGTGGGGGATGGTACGGGGCGAGCGGTCGCTTTTGGCTGGGGCGCAGGGATCCTCTGGGGGCACGGGGCTCGGATGGAAGTGGTTATGTGCCCAGGAACTGAGGCTGGCATCGGACAGAAGGGCTCCTCGCTGAGACTGCAGAGTAATAAAGTCCTTCATTTAAGCATCCTGAGGTTTCTTTTTAAATTCCCCTCTGCGTTCCTAAAGAGAGTTCTAACAGTTGGGGGTGAGGGTAGGGACCATTTCCTAAAGTCACCGTGTAAGTTGAAGATCTGAAATGTTGTCCTCGGGTGAATTTAAATCTCGCACTTGGGCAGCCAGAAAAGAAACCGTGTGAGAGGTGGCGTGGGGGAATCCACTACCAAGAGCCATCCCCCCGAAGCTTCCCATCTTCTCCCGGGACACGGAGCAGGGCTGCCGCGCGGCCCGGAGCTCGGAGCCCCGAACTGGCGGGTTAGGGGGAGAGCAGAGAGAGCGAGAAAGGGAGGGAGGGAGGAAGCGCGAGAGGGAGGGAGGAAGAAAGGGAGGGAGGTGGCGTCATGTGATCCGCTTCCCTGCTCCTTTAAGCGTCCACCGGCGGCGGAGCGGCCACAATCACAGCTCCGGGCATCGGGGGAGCCCGAGCCGGCTGCGTCGGGGGAATCCGCGCGGGCGCCTGCCGTCCGGGTCCCATCTTCGCCGCGCTCCCGCACCCCTGAAGTTTGCAGCGCTCAAAAAGGAGGCGAGGGAGGAGGGAGCGTGAGAAGGGAGAGGGCAGCCAGCACACCCTGAAACATTTATTTTAGGGAGGGGGGGGGAAGAAGGGGGGCGTCAAAATGGCTGGGGCAATTATAGAAAACATGAGCACCAAGAAGCTGTGCATTGTTGGTGGGATTCTCCTGGTGTTCCAAATCCTCGCCTTTCTGGTGGGCGGCTTGATTGGTAAGTGCAAGAGCTGCAAACTTTTCCCCCCCACTCCCTCTCTTTTCGGGCCCCTTCCCTCTGCGCCTCTTGGGCTCCTCGTTACAGTATCACTGCCTCGCTTCTATGATCTAATTAGTCCGGCTATTGTGCTTAAGAAAGCGGAGCTCCATGGGGCTCCGTGGGGCACCATCCAGTCTAGTGGCTCAGAGAAAAGGAGGGGAAAAGTTTTGGCCTAGTTTCAGTATCCACTTGAAAGGAAGGAGGTGGGGGGGTGGGGGGGGATCTTAAGCATGGCGACGGATCGCGCGAGGAAGCGCTGCCTTACAAAGTTGATCGCTCTCGCCACCCACACCCCGCTCTCCGTGCTTTTTCCCGCGTTCCCCCCTTTCCCTCTCGGGTTCCTTCCAATCAGCTCCCGGAGGGCGCCCTAGCCGACTTTATTGGGAACAACAGGGGAGTCCGGGAACTGCGCTCGGCTCGGATCCGAGCCCGGTTACGGGGCTGTGGTTTCAGCGCGGCTAACGTCGCCTAGGTCGGCTCGGCTCGGGCGGGGGGCGGGCGGAGAGGGGCGAGCCGGGGGCCTGGTGTTTGGGGTCCGACCCCCCTTCCCGTCCGCGGGCGCGGACAGGTCCGAGCTGTGGGCCGGCAGGCCGGATGGGCTGGGGTGGAGCGAGCGAAAGTCCTTGGCCGGCGCCGCGGGAAGTTGGAAAGGTCGGAGGGGAAAAGCGTACCCGAAAGGTGTTGCTTTGGGCCTCCGGTCCTCTCGCGAATCTCCCCTCCACCCATCGCACGCCCCCCACCCCCACCCCCCCCATTTGG